ACTGCAAACGTCACATGCATTCCGAAGGAAGTGTTTGATGAGAAAACCAGCTACATAATATGCAGCGGAGTCATCGATAATATGGGAGTGAACGTTTGTCGCAAGTTCAGAGAGATCGTCTAGAGCGGGAAAGTCGCCAGGCTGTGGCTGTGCACACTCTTCATTATCCACAAGAGACGCACTGGTGAGGGAGAATGGCGAGAGCTGCTCCTGGAGGAGGTCACATTCATCATCCTCGACATTTCCGTATTCTGACAGCTTGAAGAGTTTTCTTATGCAGATGTGCTTCAGGCCACAAATAAATTGTGCTACATTGGGGTTGGTGTTGCAACCCTGTTTTTGCCTAATGTGGCCAAATATGTTCTCCAGAGGATCCTGTTGAAGCCTGCTTGTGAACAGGTATTCAAAATTGTAATTTTTGGAGAGGTCGCCCAATAGTTGACAAATTGCCTGAATTGTAATTTGCTAACCTACGATGGTTTGTGGTTGACGTCTGCCAACAAACTGCCATGATGCAATCCAGAAAAGCTGGCCTCGGAGGAAGTCAATCAGCTCTGAATCATTTTTCATGATTGCATGCCGCAGCTTTTGCGAAGTTCTTTTTTTACTCGAGCTGTTCAAGGCATCGAAAATCCTGTCCATACGATCACAAAATTGAGCTTTAGTGATGGCCGAGGCAGGCAGCACCTTCGCATACACCAATGCCGTGATAGCAATCGAAACTGAGGCACTGAGGACCTGAGTTGCTCTGCTGACCTTCATATTAGAAAAAGGTTTCTGATGAACGTGCCGTTCAGTCAACTTTGGAGCCAATCGCAACCGCAACTCATGTGAGGATTGGTAAAGGCTCACAATGTGCGACCAGTCAACGATGTCATCCCCATTGTATAACTTGTGTGCTTGGACATTATTGCGCGTTGTTTTAATTAAATGCGGAACATCAAAAATGTAATATACCCGCTCACCATTAACTTCAAAAAAAAAGGCTTTGCTACAGTCACTCTTAGTTGGTTAGCGAGAGTTACATTTGAACTGCCCTGGTCACAAATGACTGCTTTCACTGCAATATTAATGCTCCTAAGCTCCAAAATGAGTGACACCAGCAAGTTATGCATAACAGATGATGGTGTTGATGTGTGCCCTATAGTAAAAGCAACCGGTTGAACCCACTTTCTCGAAACGCCAACAAGAAGAAAAACCAGTGCTCGATCAGCGATGGTTGAAGTGCGATGAGTGCCATCATCTGCAAAACCCTGGACAACGTCTCTTGCAGCATCATAGTACGAATTCTTTTTGAGTGCTATTTCGTCGAAAACTAAAGCGCACACTCGGTCCCGTTCATTCCAAGCTTGAGTATTTGTTGTAATGGAAGAAAGGATTCCTGGAATTATGCCTGGAGTCATCTTTACATTAGCTAGCCACCTCCCTGATGAACGCCGGGAAGGCAAACAAAAATATGGAGCCAGAAATCGGTATGCTCGCGGACCTCGGAAGTTTAAGTGAAGAGCGAATTTCTTGAACCACACGGGAAAACGCTTGCCCTTGCGTTTTGGCCTCAAGCGAACATGTGCCGAAAGAAGTTTAAAAACCTCCTCGGTGACGTGCGGTCGGATAACTCCAAGGGCCTTTGAAGTCTATGACGGTGCTTGGTGAGGCTGTCTCCGCAGTCTTTTGATAGTTTTCCGCTGTGCTGCTACTTTGGCTTGCATATGTTTAATGGTTTGCTTGTACTTCATTGATGGAGACATTGTCGCTGGCACACAGGAACGCACTGCAATAAACAAAAAAATGGATGTAAAAGCGAAGAACAACTTATCCCATACGAGCACTTTCCTCGCTCTTTGAGACCCACGGTGCACAACTTTCTGTGGTGCAAAGTTTTCGATTCCACTACCTAAAAACAAACCATTCACAATGTTGACAATGCACAAAAAAATGAAAATCACTGAGGGCCCACCCTTACATTTTGTATGTGCACACGTAGTGTCCTTTTGAGGATAGTTTCCTCAGAATGTCCTAAACATAAAATAGCACATTAAAACAGCTGCAATAAAAGCATAGTCACCATTTTCTCTAGGGCACTCAGGCGTGGAGCTGTTAGCGGAGACGTCTTCTGGAGGGTCTTGTGAAGCTTGTTCAGTGCCTCGGAAAGTGCTGTCGGAACAATCTTGCGAGCGGCCTGCGGAAGTCTCTATATCAATCCACTCTGGTGTTGAAGGGAACATACAACTTACCGCTCACACAAGTTCCTTTTGTGACAGCTGAACGACTGGTTAAGGTTTTCTCCGGCAAGACGAAGTCAGCAGAAATTTTTTCACCAGCTACAAGGGAGCTGCCACCTGCAGAGGTTTGGTCAACAGTCAATTTGGGTAAAAAAAAAAAAGAAATCGCGACACTGAACGCACCCTGTTCTTCGGGGCACCTCAATGTGTGGGAGCCGCTTTTTGAAGCCTCTACCGCAGGTCCTGAAGAAATGAAATTACGACAATGTGTCAGTAAGAGGCTTAAAATAACACAAACTGAAGCTCATCCGCACCTTGCAGTGCAGCTTCTGCAGCCATGTCACAGTCACTACTTGAAGCGACGCTCAGAGAACCTGCATATATTTGCAGTTGGTACAAGTTACAAAGCTTGTAGCATGGGGAAACTTAAACAGCTCTTTCAAACGCATAAAATGGTCGAACGTGGAAGAAAAAAGAAGGCACCAACTAGAAAAAAAGTAATTTGTGATTTTTGGAATTATCAACAATGCCAGCTTTCACTGATGAAAGGTATACGTACATGTGCACTCAGGCTTGAAGATAACGTGAAATAGCCCTTTAAAGTTTTTCAAAACAAGTTGCGCAGGTCAAGAGCATGAAAAAACGACAGAAATGTAAAGCTGCTGTTAGGAAGGTAATAGCCCACAATTCACAAAATTTAAGACTTTCCAAGTGTTACTTCTATAATGAGGTTTTTCCATCGGCTACAAAGATCTTCACGGTTAACTGTCGCCACTGATTCAATACAAGTGGCTGCTATTGCACATATTTGAGTTTCAGTCAATCACTTACATGGTGCAGCTGGTCGCACACTGGGAACAGCCATTCTTGTAAGCCTTGTGTGCCCAGGGTCCATGAAACTTTGAGCAGAAAAATGGTCGCTACAAACCCTGTACGTTGCGTACAATAGGCTGGCCGGCTTACTAAGGAGATCATCGCGTCCAGCATACTGCATCCATGCTTTCATCCTGCATTGGCAATGAACTATCAGCTGAAAGGGGAAGTGCTTGAATAGTGATTTTTTATTGTTACCCTCACTGAGCAAGTACGAACAGTAAGCCTAAAGACATGCAAACCATACAGAAGCTTCAACACACCTGCCGTCCCGTGGTATGCGGAAGAAACTCGTCCCAGGCTTCTTGTGGGTTCTGCCATTGTTGAAGCACCACGATACACAGCAGTAGCTGCCGTAGCTTGGACCGCCGGACGGCATGGCATCAGTGCGGTCTGAAAATGTTGGTAAGTGGATGCTTCGCTGTCAAATTACGAAAAAGATATGTGCACGTCATCAGTGTACCAGCAAACTCCTTTGAATGATTAGCTAATCGATGCACAATACAAAACCTCTGACCCCTAAAACTCTGACTTACAAAGATAGACGTCAAGACCACGTACAAAGATCTTCAGAAGTTTCCAGGCCGCTATCCCTTGTAATGGAATGGTATCGCGGCCTGGGAACTTTAGAACACCTTCGCGCGTACGCAGTATCAGCAGTAAATTGGGAAGAAAAATCGTAGTTGAAATTTGTGCGGTAAAATTATATTGGAAACGTCGAAAAAATTTGTGGACAGCTTGCGCTAGTGGCACAAGGCTAGCGAAGAAACGAAGATGATGGCCACTTGACTAGTCCAGATTTACCTCCGGCACACCAAGAATTATTCGTGTTCCGAGCCTTCGGGAAACGCGTTGTGAAGCTTGCGAGGCCCAGCGAACGCTTCTCAATATTTTGCACCGAGCCACCGAGCCTATGACCTAGCAGCCCAGCTATGCTCAGCGCACAGACGCTCGCGTCCGTGGCAGACGCAGCACGCGTCGCCTTTGCTATACTGCATACGTTGCACAATGTTCCCGTCTAGCCGCCGCATAGAGCCGCAAACTTTCTTTTTAGCGAACCTCCCCGTCCTTACAAGCTTCAGAAAAAGGTTACAACTGCGTGAATGAGACGCCACGTAAGAAACAAACTCGCACACACGAAGCGCAACGTGTGTGTGTGCATCTATGATTGTTGCATATAGTGTCTTATTCGCGCAGGTGTAACCGTTTTCTGAAAAAATGACCCAACAAGCCCAACAACATGTCATTCAACAAGCTTCGCTTGAAAACATGCCTCACCTGTTATCTCACGCACGAAAACGCCGACGCAGCCGACGTGGACGAAAGCGACGAAAGCTTCTCGTTGTCAGTCATGCATGGGCTTGTCGCTGAGTGGATGGTGTTCATGACAGTACGGCTGAAGAAAAATAATCGCGTAAGGTGTGTTGAATAAATTGTTTTTATGTATAAAGAACATACCTAGTTTGGGCGTATAGTTATTATTTTTTGAAAACAATTCTGTTGCATTGATTATAACATTTTTGTTTTTGCACTTGCACCCTTTGACGTTTGATGAGAGCACTAGTTGATTACGTAATCGTGACGCACTGCCTGAGGCCAGGTTTTGCGGAGTGTCCTCTCTTGTATTTTCCTTTCTCTATGCTCTAGCTCTATGGTTCGAGGCTGTCGTTTCCAGAGCTCCTACCATTGGCTACGCCAGCGTCGGTGGTGAGAGAACCCACTTAGGCTTTGAAGTGCGTCGAACGCGGCGACAGCAATCTGTGCCCAACGCAGGCTTTGACGGCAGGTGAGACGCGTATGCAGAGATTTGTGCATGAACTTGACTTACGATAAATTCTAGCGTTCCAGTGAGAATGTCGCGAGGTCCTTGTGGATCCAGCAGGCGCAGCGTGTCGGCCACCTGATATGCGTTACGACGGCGAGGCTGGACGGTAAGTTTTTTTTTTGATGACGTCGATCAATTGTTCACACCTCAATCATTACTGATAAGATGTCCAGAGCCGGTCATTTTTGCAGTTATTTATTAGATATTTCTGGCCGGCACCAATGTTAGAGCTTGGTTGGGATTGTGCGATGTAGACCAAAAAGGGGATCGCGAGCGTTCCAGTGCCTTTTCTATCAGTGTCTTGCTTTCATGAACGGTTCTCTTTACTGCCCCCGTTATCGATTGCACTTTTTTGATGTTTTTTTCGTTGTTTTTGACATGTGATATCGAACGCGCGTTTGGTGGCGTCTGAAATTTTACTCAACGTTCGCGTGGTAATTTGCGTGTCCTCGACGCTTTGTGTGGTGTGGTGGACCTCGAGCTCCGCCGGCTACCTGGCTTTCGTGTAGGAACGAGAGACGGCGCGTCCGAAAAGAACGCTCTTTAATAGAAGAATGAATAGAAAAAAAAATGAATTGTCGGCTTCGTGCCCTCCAGCGAGTGGCAGCTCGTGAGGAGCACTCGAGATGATTAAGAAGGCCGTCTGCTCCGTTGGTGAAAACGAAGTTATAACATGTAGAATTAACGGAACCTGCTCTCTACTTGTGTGCGTACATGTAAGCGTAGCCGTAATCAGACAAAAACGAGGCTCATGTAGTTCTCTCTGCTTGTGTCCCGCCCGCTTGCGCTCGTCAATTGCAGACGTGCTTTTAATAACATTGTTTATTACATGAAAGGGTTTTATGCCGGGGTACAAACAAGACTTTCAAGACTACCACACCACTAGAGGCCACGCGCGCTCTCCACTGCTCTATGATTGCATAATTTTGATGTCCTACAAATGCACACTTCAGAATGAATTGTGTAACATCCACCCTTAGCAAACTGAAGTAGTGCATCATGACTGTGGCATCCACTATAAACCCTTCGTTTCTAAGCATGCTTTCCATTCCACACGTTTACAATAGGAGATGACCAATTTTCTGTTCATTAGACAGTTTTAGAATAGCGTTAGCAGGCGTTGCAGGCGTAGCGTTTACGTATGGTTGCCCTTATGAAATATAGAATAGCATTTGTCCCCTCAAACGCTGCCACTCACTCGCTCGCCGTTTAGCTGGCTTTGGCGGCCACACGCTATTTCGATTTTCTGTGGGTGCACTACAAGCGTGAACAGGGGCTCCTGTTACGACGCATGCGCAGTGGCACTGACGACCCGCAAAGGCTTGTGGTGCGCTATTTCTAGAACTCCCCACTAGCGACGTCAGACTGGCTACATTACCCGTAGCGTCGGCCTCGCTCATAGTATCCATCTATACATAAATAAAACAAAATAAAACAAAAGCTCGGCGTTGGTTCCCTGTAGATCCGCGTTCTTCATGTACAGTCGTGCCGTAAAATATAACGGCCGGCCAATAGCCCAGACGCGACGCGCGTTGCGTTGCTCTGTAGTCGCGCAGTAGCGTAGTAACATATCGCGAGTAGGCGACCTTAGCACAAGCTCCGCGTTCGTTTATTGACGGCTCTCCTGGCGGTCAAGCCGCTTTCTTTGATTCCTGCTTTCACTACAGCAGCTACTACAAGCATTTATAATCACCACATGGGTTTGTTTCTGAATTGATTTTGAGCGTAAGATGTGAGAGTGAACAGAAAAAAGAATCTTTATTGAAAGGCCCCATTATGCAGGGTCGAAGGTGGCGGGGGGGGGGGGGGGCCGGGAGACGGGCCCCTCCGTAAACCCCTTTTTCAGGCGGTCAGAGTGAAGATGTGTCACTAAGGGCCGACGAGTACGCGTTAACGTTAAACGGTGTCACATAGCTATCAAAACATCGAGTCACATTGTGAAAGTTTTCTAAAATTAATGTAGAGTAAACTTCCAACTATTTTGAAACGGACGAGTTGAGACAATTTTGAAGAAAAATAGGATTTGTCGAAAATTTGGATAAGCGTACCATGCTCCAATATTTGAAAAAATAGAAATTTCAGGCAAATCAGAAGAATGTGTTTGTACTGGAGCAGCAAGATTTGGCGCACTTTGATATGTCCTTGCTCAGGGCTAACCAATTTGAACAAAACAAAACTTTCTTAATATAAAGAAGAAATGGAAAGCGGGCAGTTTTTGCACATTTCGTGTATATAAAATGAAAACTAACTTTTATGACACAGAAAAAAAAAGAAATCTCCTTTGTACTACAGCAACCGACAAAAAATCTGGCAGTGTTTCGTTTTAATGCCGTATCTAAAAAAAAAATACTTTGTTCTGTACTAAAGCTTGCAACAGTGCTAGCTCACGTTTTATGCATACGTTTCACGTGCAAGAAAAATGTTTTTGCAGTCTTAAAACTTTGTATAAAGTTGTAAAATCACAGGCGCACCAGCTGTATTGAAACGGCACGTTCACACTAATGACTGCAATGTTCTTCTTCTCAGTTAGCTTAACGACTTGTTACAATAACAGGCTCAGTTCCAATAAAACAAATCTAGGCACAGGTAGCCTCAAAAATACGAATGCACACCATACAGTACTTTCGTTGAGACAAAGCTTTGTGTCCTGTTTTTTTTTTTGTAAGGTGCAAGTCACTTCTAATGCAAGAAATCCACACAGGTGCTGTATTTTTTACTTTTGCTAAAAACATTGCTTGTTTTTAGGAATTTAAGCGGCATACAAGGGATAAGTGCAGATAAGATTTGAATACCGAGTTGAAAAACATCACGTTGGTTAGAAGTACATGTTTTTTTTTCTGTAGGTTTCATGATGGGGCTAGCGGTGAAGGTATTCCCGAGTACAAGGATGCCGAACGGGACTTGGATCCATACATGTCAGTGTCCGCGTCTCCATCTCAGCCGAACGTCTACATAGACGTGCAGGGTGGCGATACTCAAGTGCTCACATTGTTCAACGTCAGTGAACACTCGGTGTACTTTGAGCGTAAGTATTGTTGGCTCACTTTTTTGCCCTTTTTACTTCAATAATTACTGTTTGTCTTTGAATTTTGTTTGGGATCAGTGCTTCCCGACTATAAGCAGATAATTATGCATGTTCATTTCATGACTCAATTCAAGAGCAGTGTAGTCATGATATGCAAGGAAGAAACACCACAGGACAGTTCCTGTTTTGTTTTCGTCTCTTATCTCCATGCGTTTTTTGTGCCGTTCTTGCAAATATCCTTCCTTGACTGACAGTTTCAAGTTATATGAATAAAATTTCATTTAAAACACTTGATATGCCCCCTTTCTCTAAAAAAATGATGTATAAGTTGCATTTCCATGCGTGACCATTTTGATTTAGGAAAACTTATGTGAGATAGATGTACCGTCACTATACATTTGTCAAGAGTGCAAATGTAAACTTCGTGTTTGACGTTAAGCCAAATACATTTATGCACAGAAATGCAGCATGTTCTGACTGTTTTTTTAACAGCCACATTTAGGAAATTTTCACTGGATAGGAGATAGGGCATATGATTGATTTATTGACGTTCCACGTTGGCACGAACCTGCTGTAAGGTCGAGATACCGCACCCTCGGGAAACATTAGAGGCACCAAGATTTCACACCTTTTGTAACTAAAGCATGAGGCCTAATTTTATAGTAAAGTTTGCATTTTTCAAGGAAATAAAACGGAGAACATTTGCTACTTGTGCCTAAGTCTTCCGTGTGGTGCATACAATCCCCCAATATATAAAGAATATCTACGGAGGCCTCTGCGCTCTCAATTTCGGTCAATTGCTTAGCTTGCTAGCCAATGCAATGAGAAGAGGATCAAAATACTCATTGAACTCAGGTAATCCTGCACATATTTGTAAGAGCTCTTCTTTGGCACGAGAGATTCAAGTCTGCCCGAGTACTTCTGCGAAGGCGGTGTGTCAGTGAACCTGTGCACTGTTTCTTTCTCAAAATGTGACAATGTCGCGTAATTGCAGGTCCAACATCTTTGTTCAAATTCTGCTTTTACTCACGTTTGCACTTCAGTCATTGCTAACAACCACGTGAAGCTAATGTGCTGCGAAGTCACGCAAAAAATTGTAGTAGCAAATGAGGCATGGTACTTCTATGTCTGCTGAATTTTTTAATGAATTAAAACTAAAAAAAATAATTGTGTGCTACCACATTATCTTGGAGGCAATGATTACAAGGTGAAGTGGCAAACTATTCGAAATGCATAAAAAATTCAAAATATGTAGAGAACTCTCTCAAATGCCCTCAAATGCAAAAATTTTGATGCCGTCACCAGCACCCGCAAGAAAAAATGCTGATTTAGTAAGATGATTTTCCAAATAGCACCAGGGCTATCGAGAAAATCAGACTTTCACAGAAGATCTAGCCCAGTCGTGTGTCTTTTATACACCTTTTATTGAAAGTTTCCATTGTGCCACCATAATCTTCGTTGGCGTAAATAAACATGAGCTCCTGAAAACCTACTCAAGTTTGCGTGCGTCATGGTAGAGGTTGCGTTCAAGCCCTACTGTCATGTGCCAAAAGCTATCAAGTTGAATGCATCGTGGCTAAACTGGTTTTTTGTTCGCAGCATGTTTATCTGGTAATCGTTATTTTAGGGGCGAAGCTCTTTACAGCGGCACCTGTTCATCCCTCGTAGACGTTGTAGTGTGTAACAAGTGTAACATTTTGACCTCCAAGGTAATGCCGGTGAGAGATTTCTTCTGTGCGTTGTTGAACAATAAAAAATATTGCTCAATGTAAATGCCAATAGCTGCAAATGGGGATTGAGAAACACGAGCATTCGGCTTTTAGTTAACGCGTACGCTGCGATCACCATTAGCAGCCATTCGCATGTACATTGAGCACTATCTGACAAGAAAAGGTTGCTACGTTATACTCGCTGGGTGTAACATCCTTTGTTTTATAAAGGTTTAGCGAGCGTTGAGCCGCAGTGCCATGAATACAATGAACTAGTATATACCATGAACTCGAGGTGGTTAAAGGTGGGAAGTAGATACGAAGCGCAAGCCATAAGAAAGTAAAAGCCGAATTCTCCTGTCTCTCATTTCCCATTAGCAGCCATTGGCATGTGCATTGAGCACTATCTGACAGGAAAAGTTTGCTACGTTATACTAGCTGGGCGTAACTTCCTCGGTTTTAGAAAATTTTAGCGAGCGTTGGGCCACAGTGACATGAGTACAGCATATACCATGAACTCGAGGTGGTTAACGGTGGGAAGTAGACCCGAAGCGCAAGCCGTAAGAAAGTGTGCATGTGCCACTTCTCGTTTAGTCCTTGGAATGTCCGTTGGATGGCGGTGCTTCGATATGGGGACTATATGATTGAAAGATGCGAGATGGTGGTACTTGGAGTGTTGAATAGATTGACGAACGAACACACAGACAGATGCTTCAAATCAAGCGGGCCACCTGCTTGCTAGCGGCACCATTAAAATAGGAAATTCGGAAATCGCTGAAGAAACGACCATAGCGCTGACGCTTGCGTCCACAAGGGCCAGCGTCGTAATCAGTGATTCTAAAACCGCGATTCATAACTTCGCTAACGGAAGGGTCTCGAAAGAGGCGTTAAGAATCTTAAATAACTTTCGCGGAGAGCGCGACGTTTATGTTATATGGGCGCCCGCCCACTCCTCCCTCCCGGGCAATGAAACCGCACACACCCTAGCTCGAGAGTTAGCGAGCCGAGCAGGGGCAGGAATGACGCGGAGCCCGCGTGCGGAGAGAGACCGCATGTTCAGTTACAACAAAATTACCAAGCACTACAGATTAGGGAGGCAGCACTACCCGCCACCACACTCCTCATTAAATAAGCAGCAGGCGACAGCGTGGCGCCTATTACAAACAAACACGTTCCCAAACCCAATCGCTTATAATCATTGTTACCCGGACCTCTACTCAGACAGATGTAAACACTGCAATCAGCGGGCGGACCTCAAACACATTATCTGGGCTTGCCCCAACATCGTGAAGGGGCCAAACACATACATGAATACGGAGCAGTGGGAGACCGCGTTGCTAAGCTCAAGCATCGAGGACCAACTACAGGTCATCAGGCAAGCCGAAGATGCCGCTAGGGCCCAAGGACTCCTAGCTGCCATCTAGGGGAGGGGAGTCAACTCCTCTAACACTTGCCGTTTCAATAAAAGTTGTTTCTCTCTCTCTAGGTATGTTTCAATGTTATGTGTATGCTAAGATCATTAGCTCATCCCTTTGAGTTATCGTGAACTTGTTGCCGCAAAGCTTTTGGGATGGCATATTTAATTATTTAATGCCGCTTGTTGCTGCAAATGAAGGTTCTGCTCGAAAACAAACAAAAGTTACTTCAGCAAAAACTGCCCATAAAAATGTCAGCCACATCTTTCCTGTAACTTGGAAGGGTTAGCGAACTTTGGCAGCCTCTTGAAATAAGGTACATACTTGTAGAAAGAGTTCATAAAATGAAAGGTGATATACCACCTACACTCGCTAAAAAAGCAAAGCGGACTCACTCGTGTGCTTCATTGGCTTTAAAATTATGGCTGGATTCAAAACCACATAAAAGGAGAGTTTTTTTTTATCAACGCCGGTGCGTATATTACACTGGTTTGATTAAACACCTAGCTGATCTAGGAGTAAAAGCTCAGAAAAGTGAAAACATTGACTATTATTCGGCAGAATTAGACAATCTCAGAGCATATTATTGTGTGTGGCATACAACATGAAATACCAATGAAACTATCATACTGAATTTTTTTGCATCTGGTGCATTCTGCAAGATTCTAGCTAGGCCGTACTTGCTAAATATAAATTCTATTCTCTTTCAACGGATCAACGAAGCTTCAAAACTGAAATGTCATTTCATGTTGCATGACAGCCATGCCAGTTTGAGCTGCAATATTCGGGATTTTTTACCCCACGCAAGGTCTCAGGATGTAAGCCTTACCTCTACGCAACATCGTTTTATGCTAAGTTTATAAAGTTTCAAATAAATAGACAGCATTGTTTCCAAGGCACAGCTAAGTCATTCTGAGATGTCATCTTGTTTGTCTAGGGAGACCAATGAATGAACAGAGTGTTTCGTTCGTGCTCATGACATGATAGTTTGTTGTCTGAATCAGCTGCTGCTTTCAATGTAGAACCCAAATATCAGTTTGAGCATGAAAACCTAAGTACAGGTCAGTCTGACAATTTGAGGCCTATCTGTGTCATTTCTAAGCATATCTTTCTATTTCTATATCTCTACATGCTACTCATGAGCCATGTTCATCTTGATGTCTTTGCATAAACGACTTGATTATTTGTTGAGTTCTCCCATCAGTATTTTTTTTCATGCTGCTATTATAACTTGTTCTAGTTAATGTTAGTCAAGCAAACGAACCAAAGAAAGCAAAACTGTTTCTTTTTTTGCTTCGAGATAGACGTTGAGGAGTCGCAGTGCAACAATGGAGGGTGCCGTTCCCGCAATTTTTTATTCTGTCTCGTTCTTTTGAATACCTCTGTTGAGGTATGGCGGGCTCTAATTACTCATTCTAAGTTACATTCATTTGCACCGTGTCCTTCTTGGTGCTTCCACGAACATATCATCGAAATAGTGCACCCACGGCTGCGTTTTTTTTTTTCAGCCATTAACATGCTACGCTAGCCACGAAAAAAGCGCCTTTGCAGATTTGTTTACTGAGTGCGCCTTTGTTGCAAGCCTCTAATCACACACGTTTTCTAATGTCGAATTTCCCACCAGCCGCTCGAGTGTTTGAGAAGCAAAGCTTAGGAATGCTTACACGATACAGCAGAGGCTGATTGTTTTCTAAAAAAAAAAAGCAAGGGTGTGGCAAATTAAGAAGTAATTCTTAAATGAATCTTTCGGGGGGGGGCAATTTTATTCAACTTCTGGGTTTAGCTTTCACATGGGTACGTACGGTATGTTCAACGCACTGTGGCATAGCCTGGGATACCGCAGCAAGTGCTATTTACTGGAGGCTTCTCTTGGTTCTGGTGCTTTTCTTCATCGGGATGAGTTGAGGCCTTGCATTTGCTTGCAGTGATTTCAAGTGCAGCGAACCGTTGCAGTGTCACATGGCGATCAGAGATCATCACACCACACTGCTACACCGAGATGTGAGTGTGAACATGCATTTCATACAATGCTTTCTGCATGCATGTATGGTTTTACAATAGAGCCCAGCAGCATGCTTTGTTCATTGACTGAAGGAAAATAAAGGAATGCAGTATTTTGTTGCTTATAAACATATAAGACCAATTGAATGTAATCTTGAAAACCTCTGAAATGTGACAGTGATAGATAGATGATATATGACTAGAGTATAAAGTTGGGCATGTTGGTAAGACATAATTAATCGACGTAGCGCGTTAGAATCATAGGACAGGAGAAGGGACAGAAGGGAGCGCTTACTTCCAACAAAATTTTATTTCGAGGAGTGTACATATATATGCTCACGAAATTCGAATACAACAGACAAACAGATGAAAAACCCTCTATTGCCATGCGCTAAAAACTTATGATCTCAAAAACGACAATTCTTGATCACTGTTGGTCTTTGTGATAAAATATTGTCGTTTTCGAGATCATAAGTTTTTAGCGCATGGCATTGGAGGGTTTTTCATCTGTTTGTCTGTTGTATTCGAATTTCGTGAGCATATATATGTACGCTCCTCAAAATAAAATTTTGTTGGAATTAAGCGCTCCCTTCTGTCCCTTCCCCTGTCCTATGACTCTAACGCGCTACGTCGATTGATTAAGGATGATATATGTAGCTAACAAGAAAAAGAGATGAGAGCTGAAGAACAGGCTACATTCTGCAGACCATAGTCATATTTAAGTCTTCTACACTATGGGTGCTTGTGCTAGATCAAACTCTGGAGTGTTAGTCAGCACTGCAGTTGGCATGGGCCACTTGCTTTGCTGAAACACTTGACGAAGGTGTTAGTGACAGCACAGCCATCATTCAGAGTTACAGCCTCCGAAGATACATACATTCAGCGTCAAGCGTCAGTCAAGGCTTTCGTGCGTGTGGGCAATGCAACCAAAACTATCACACATTTGCCATAAAAAGCTTTATGATTTGTTTAAACAGGCCATACTAGGTCGCGCTAGAAGAATACCGGACATTTTGTCCGTGAAAAGATGTTATCGAGAGTCGAGTAAAAACTAACAAAAATGACGACAAAAGTCGCTGCTTGATGGAGTGTGTTGCCCATCATGTTGAAGAAAAAGTGCCGTGTATTAGCTTTCCTAGTTCTTCGAAGAAGATTTAAAGGTTTCGAGACATTAAACGAAGTGAATATCTAGTTTTGACATGTATTGTGTGAAGTATTGTTGCTTTTAGTTCACATAGCCATTTTCCAGCATGATTGGTATGCTGCAATCGCAAGATATTCACATAAATTCTGAGCTCTCTACACTGCCATCTTTGTCGCACCTAACAGAAATTGGCATAGAAGATTCATACAACAGACCTGTTTCGAGCATCAGAGCACCAACAATGCGAGTGCAAGCACTAATGGAAAAGTCGGTACGCTGGATCAGTCGCCGCGGCGAGCACGTGGGCCCCACACGTTAAGGTTGTTTCACATGCTGCGATTGCAGCGAACAGTAAAAATGTTCTATTCGCTCCATTCGTTCTGATCGCAACCGCCGCTAGTGGTGGTCTCGTTTCACTTAGACGGAAAATGCTGCGCAATTTCCGGTCTGCGACTGAAGCGGTGAGCACTGTTTTTTGCCAACATTATTTGTGGCAGGCACTGTAGATAGCTTCAAACTCGATGAAAAGATTAAGATTCGATGAACAATAATGAAGAGCACGCGTGTTTCTGTGTTAAAGAACACTTTCCATGCTAAGTTCACTTTAAAATGCGCAACACCGGCCATTACCAAAACAAAAACCTCGACGCGATTTCGATGGCTTCGCCCGCCTGGCTCTATTTCGACGGGTCCCGTCCGAAAAGATTGCTAAGCCGCTGCGCTAAGAGCGAAAAATTTTCATCATGTTGATAGCTCACCGCAGACCCCTACGGATGGAGTGAACTGCTCTTTTTTCACATTAAGCGAATTTGCAGCCTGAAAATTGCTGATTTTTGTTTTGTAAAACCGCCTTTAGCATTGTACCTGTGCTGTGCGAGTCCTTCTCAAGTCAAGTGCAGTCAAGTAGACGAGTGTTGACATGTTGCTGCTTAATTCAGTGAAAACTTCTGTGTCTCGTCAAGAAGGAATTTCTACGTTTCCATTTGCCTTCTATAGTGATGCTGCGTGCACTCTTGGGCCGTCTGAGTGCTTCGAAAGCGTAATTTTTTTTCCTTAGATAGGGAATAATGCCTTTATTCTCCCTGGCATAAATTAATTAAACCCACCACCCTCAGAGTATCCCCCACTGCTATTTCTCTCACCAGAAGCCTGGGGGACGTCGTTAATTGAGCAGTGACACCGAATTTCAAATCAGAGATGTGGCTTTCATTCGACTACTTGGTGTACACAATGTTTCGGTGAAGACTGAGTAACTTATCTTCCGTAGGACTTATTCTCTTTAAAGCGCAAAGAGCATCCAAAGGCTCAAGGGGGCATACCCGGCCATGAGACATCGACATTATTTTGACGTGTTCAGGGAGCTCCTAGGCCACGCCTCAAACACTGAGTGACGATGGTGAGCACCGATGACGTCGACCATTTCAGTGTTGTCCTCGCGGTGTTTACATCTGGTAACGTCTGTGGGTGACTCTTGGCTTCCTAGCAACAGCTCCAGTTTCCTAGTTTTGCACGGTCCGTGCAGTGCGTTCGTGTGCATCCAGCGTTTTTATTGTGCCGCTTCGGGGGGTGTGTCATGAAACCATGAGTGCGAGTGTGGTTTGGTGAAGCCTACGGTCATCGGGAACAAGTAACACGCACGCAGCGTTCATATGTGTTACCAGCCAGTGCAGCCTTCGCGTGCGTCTCTAGCTGCCTCATCGCTGCTCAGTGCAGCGTCGATTTCAGTATCACTGCTCATAAGAGGATCGATCCGAAGATGATTCACCAGGCCGTGAAAGCTTCGACTTCATATTCCTCAGTGTATTCATCTTCGCTTGTGGACGCTGATGATGGCGGTGACGGCAATGCGGTGGCTTAGGCATTCCTATACACGTGCGCGCCGAGCAGATGAAATGTCAACTAAATCTTGCGTCACAATTTTGTGGGGCCACGTAATCGGGGGGGGGGGGGGGGGAACGCGGGAAGTGACCGCTTGGCAGCGTTTTAACAGCGCTGAAAATTGGCGGGCTTTGCACCTGTTTTGAAACGGGTTCAGTACGGCTCACAGTTATCAATATTACATATCAATTCGACCCTCTGCTGCATATTTGTACCGAATCATTACTAAGGGATCAATATATACGCGTTGACGTCAAATACGCGACATTTGTCAAGTTGATGTCACTGCTCTTTTAAGGAGCATAACCTTGAGTATGTAGACCAGACTGGCAGAATAGTGTGCTAGGGTGGCAGCCCTTTGGGTTGAGTCCCCCCCTCCGTCCAGCCTGGTTTTTCTATTCGCCTTCATGTTTCTGATAAGGTTTGTTTCTCCCCAAACAAAAAATATGCAATTTGGTTTACTAGAGGAATTCCATGAGTGGTCACTGCGATTCGCAGTTACATATAGAGCCAACGTCCGCCGACTGTGTTGCCCCGCCGTGGTGGTCTAGTGGGTAAGGTACTCGGCTGCTAACCCGAAGCTCGCGGGATCGAATCCCGGCTGCAGCGGCTGCATTTCTGATGGAGGCGGAAATGTTGTAGGCCCATGTGCTGAGATTTGGGTGCACGTTAAAGAACCCCAGGTGGTCGAAATTTCCGGAGTCCTCCACTACGGCGTCTCTCATAATCATATGGTGGTTTTCGGATGTTAAACTTCAAAACTCAATCAATCAATCACCGACGGTGTTGATGAGTGCGCACAAGGTGAGACTTACAGATTTAAAAATTATGCGACCGAGTAAAGTAAGAATTTATAAAATAAGATGTACCGATTCGGCAACGCGAAAGTTACTCACTTTTTAGGTGACAAAAGATTTGCTTATATCGCCATACGGTCACACAAACAACACATGTTGCATTTCACACACGCTGGTTGGCATTGTCACGTGTTGGCTTATATGTCATAATGCTGTAGACGTCAACTGTCGTACCATGACCAATACGTGGTGACGTTGCGTAATAGTAAAAGATGATGGTATATAACTCCACAAAACCATAGTTTGAATATTAAAGACGTCGCAGAGGAGGACTCCAGAAATTCGGACAACCTAGTTTCCGTTAACGTGCACCTGAATCTTGTGCACATGGTTCTCGAGTATTCTAGCTTGCACAGGAAATGTGCTCTTCCTGGGCGGGATTCGATCCCTCGACCTACAAGCTGAAAGTTGAGCACCACAAGCATGAGACCCCTGTGCCAGGTCGCATCAAGGGCCGTGGTGGCTAAACACGGATGACAAGTGCAGAGTTATGAGACTAAATGCTCAAGCAAAACGATGTCTTGAGTAATTTGATGCATTACATTTGTATTAATGTGTACATTACAAATGATCACCGAATAAACACGAGTCGTTCATGCCAGCTCATATGTTTTATTATGTGTCGACGTTATCGGCGCGCAATACTGTGCATGCAACGGTCACCTACAGTGCAGTGTGTTATTCCTTTCACATTGCACGCGCAGAGCTGCAAGCAGATTGGTTCAGATTATGCAGTATTTGCGAAGTAAGAATTGGTTCAGATTATGCAGTATTTGCGAAGTAAGAATAGCCAAGAAGCACCTTTTTGTTTCATGCTGCCACCGCTCACATGGTGCCAACGAGCAGGAAGCGTCCGGACAGCCGGCTCGCTCGGCGGACGCTCTTTTCTCGTGATGCTTCGCACAGCCGCTTGTTGCTCTGGAATTGCTGCGAAGTGGTCTATTTGTCTAATTTTCGTTATTCCCTTTTGATTATTTCTTAATTTTAACCTTTTGTCACTTTTTAAAGGACTTGGAAATTTTTTTTTCTGGGTGAAAAAATACTCCGGCACACATTGCAGCACACCAACTTATTCATAATCTAATGCTCTTAACGAAAAAGTATAAGCTGTAGAACAAGATAAATTTAATGGAATATATAAAACTTAATGTGTGTCATTTTTGTGGCCCGCGGACAAAACAGCAACAAAAACACAATATATAAAAACATCCAAAACAAAGAACACTCAGAATAAACATATTGGAGGTAAATTACCCAGCAATAGCGCAAAAATAGCAAATTCTCTGCACAATGCTGCCAATAACATACGCACACACGGACATCTGAAACAAGGTGCTACTTAACTGCTTGTGCGACGCGGAAAAGCATTTCCTTGTTTCTTTTAATGCGACACAGGTGTATTACTATACTTGAAACCCGTTATTTCTCGTTATACCGGAGAAGCGTGCTGGTATTCCAGCATAGATAAGCTCCGAATTTGTGAATAATGTTAATATAAATCAGACGTCAAGTGAATGAACTTGACCAGACTTTCTAGCGTCACTCCTTTGTATGAGGCACCTCTATCCGCATAGGCTTCCTTTCCAAAATAATACAAGCACATCAATCAGAATTTTTAAAATAGGTATTTATCACCACCACCAGGGTAGAAAAGAACAAATTCGCGCGTGGTCGTAAAACGGCTCGCTCTACTATAATATAGCGCAGGCTGCTATGTGCTCCGGGCGGCCCTCTTGGCGCGAATAGAAGTGTAGCGGTCATGTGGAACTCGCATGCAACCGAGCAGGTCTAAGACTGCACACAAGTGTTAGCGGCTACGTATTTACGTGCAGATGAGCACGTATCCTAATGCCGTAAACAGAACCAATTTTCGAACAGCCGAGGATTTGCCAGGCTGGCTCAAAACATTGTCGTCAACAGATATTGAAGCTGACGTGCCGTCAACGGCAGACTCGAGGCACGTTTCCTCGTCACTTCAGTCTGGAGTTGTCGGAAGGCAGCTTCGAGCTGTAGTCGTTCCTCGCATCGCAGGTGGGCACCCATAAACTAGCGTTTCCGGATGCAGCCCTATGTCAGATTTAACAAGAGAATTGAAAGTAAGGGTGCTGGAAACAGGCTGGAAAACCACTTCTACACTTTATACATGCGGTGGACCTTCGGAAATTGCATTTGGTGGAATAAATCTTCCCTGGCTCTAAATAACAGTGCTCTAGTGAATAACCGACATAGGTTTCAGGCAGTTATTAGGCTGGACCTAGTCAAATTGTGAAGCTGGTGCTATCAGCTTATATTTTATTGGCCAGGATTGCTTTTATTACGACACTTTTATGTTACTCAAGCGTAGCCACGAGTGCACACGTTTCTCTGTGGTGCATCAGCCAAGAGCACACCCCCAGCAAAACATCATACATTGTTTCACAGAAACTTCCGTGAAAAATCATTACATTTTTGAACGGTAAAATTGACACTGGTTATGACAATTCAGTTGCTAGACCAATCACGTGGGGGTACTAGGTGCGTGAGAAAAAAAGTCCAGCATGCCTAAATGAATGATTCACGTCAGTGATTACTGCTGAGCGATTTCAGTAGGCATGGTAATCAGAGAGTTAAGAACATTGAAGGTGTCTGGGCCACAATTCTGTTAGTGAAACTGTTTCTTTCATTGGGTTATAATGATCTTCACACTTTGCAGAGTAATCGTATTTTATTTCAGAACGTTATCAAAAGCTTTTAAGGACACAAAACTTGCTTTTTGCTGTGTACAATTTCAAAACATGTCTCGCTCGTCAATCAGGTCACATTGAACTTGGGCATTATTCAAGATATTACAGTGTAATTGTTCAGCAGATTTTAGACCTGCAGCCTCACACATATCTGGCGATCGCTTGTAAAACCACACTGTTCAAAAATTTGTTTGTCTCTTAACAGAGTGTTGCAGTACTTTTATTGGTCTGAAGAAAATGTGGGCACCAGAGACAAGCTGCGCATAGTCATGCGTGAGCAAGGCGGCCACATCCTTGGCTTCAGAGACGTGGTTGTGAACCTGTGGTCTAACAGCAGCCGCTCTGATGACCAGAGTGAAGTGGAGTATGAAGAATACATCTTGCAGATAGGTGATTGCTGTTTCACTGCTCCGTGCGGTTAGAGCTTTTGTGTTGCGCTGCGATGTCTCATATTCAGTTGATTTTTGACGTATTGAGATACATAAAGTTATCTATTTGCGGTCCATAGGAGCTAGTACGTAATAGGCACTCACGGCGGGCACCGTGAAATAGGACAAATAGCTGGGTGCAAGGTTGGGAGATTTGAAGCTACATACACTGCCTAAATGCTGGTGCACCAGCGAGCCCCCGCAGTGCATCGTTGTACGCTATAGAAAATAGACTGGACGTATCGACGGGCCAGTTCGAGCTAGGTTGTATGTTCATAGTACGTGCCATAAAGCCCGTGATTAGTTGTGAAGCAACAGTACCGTAGACAATATTACCTTTAGAAAGAGATTTGACTCAAATTTTCAGTTGGCGTGAATTTTGAAACGCAGCCTATCCAGAAACCTCGTAGTTATTGTTTTGTGCCAGGGAAACGCTTAGCTTGAGAGAAAAATATGTTTTTGCGCTGCCCATACTAACAATGCAGTTCAAGCCGCCCACTTCTGAAGAATTTCCAAGAACCCAAAGCAGCCTTTATTGGGCGCTGCGCAAGCGCTTCATACTAGTGGCAACATTGCGCTTTCACTAAAATCACTAGTGAGAAGGCTTCCTGTTTTGCTTGTAGTCCATATACTTTTCTCGGTGCTGTTGCTTGTATTGTATTGCAATATTTTCTACGGATGAAATAGTTCAACAGTGGTTGATACTTCAGCATTGGCTGTGTAATGTTGGTAAGCCGCATTGCAATTTCGACGCCAGTGCTGCAGTAAGGGTGCCTACCAGTGAGTTTGTGTATGCACGCGCGTGAATTTGTGCTGTCACTCTATGGGAAGCCCTTGTTTGTGCTGCTGGTAAGCCGCACTGCCGAAATAAGGCACATTCCTATTTGTGTAAACCGAAGCCGTAGCTTGTGTGATATACATCGAATCAACGGTTATTCCGCTATAATGTACGAGGCGGCTCGGCTGGATTTGAGGCATGCAGAAGGAGGGATTCTTCACGAACACGGACGCGAGGATGATATGTAGCCGCTGTTGTAAAAACAAACTTAGAACCTTTGAACCATTTCTATATTCTTCCGTTTCGGTTATATTAGGATACAGAAGGCTGACAAGATTGAAGGAGTAGCATTGCGCGGAAGCAGTACTTTGATGGGTGCGTTGTATGACTTGCCTATTTGTGGATGTTTTTGTATTCCCCCGCACGAAGTGTGACGATCACACGAGTTGAAAAGTTTTTGTTTGCACCACCTCTCTTCATCGGGCGAGGCAGGAACACACGACCAAATTGACCTGTGTGATGTCAATATTCTCAAAAGCAGTTGAAGATCGGTATACAGCCGTGAACTTTCATCCGTGAAACCTGTTTAGGCCAAACATTATCGCCAGGGCTTCCTTCTCGCCTCGTGCGTAGTTGCGCTTCGCCGCATTCAGTATTCTGGAGGCAAAGACGGTAGGTCCTTTTGAACCATAGGGCGTAATGTGCGAAAAGAAAAAAGAAAGGGCGTCCGCACCATAGGCCGGGAACTTACAACTAAACCCATTTGGCATTTTGAAGGAAACGGTCGGAACTTCACTACTGATTAAGCTCTGTTTACATTCGAGGAACGATCTTCCGCATGCGTGCGTCCGCACCCAACACTTGTTCTTTATGAGCAAGCAGTACGATGGTGCAGCAACGGTAGCTGAAGTCTTCAATGAATTTAGAGTAGAAGTTCTAGAGGCCCAAGGAAGGCTCACAGTTGAGTCGTGTTGCTTGCCATAGGTGCTTCTATGATGACTTTTACCTTTTCCATGGTTGGAAAAATGCCATATGCTGTCAAATTGTGCCCAAGATAAAAACAATGAATTGCTTGAAAAGTGCACACGCCTGTTATAATACAGTGATGTCTTAGTGTGGTAATCACTGCATGCACCTTTTGTAAGGTTTCCTAACAGTCGTCTAATTTGTCCCCCGCAACGATGATGTCATCATAATAGCAATGCACTTTTGGGGTATCTTTGAAAGCGTGGACCCACTTATGACTGGAAAATGGCGGGAACCCTTGTGATTCCGTATGGTAGCCGCTGAAAGTGAAACGAACTAAGAGGCGTGTTCTCCGTCAACAGCGACCTATTTATTCAGTGAGTGGCTGCGGCACATGTTGATAGGCTTGCGCGAGATTCCAAAACACAGAAAGTCTCTCCAGCACGCAAGGATTACCGATCTTCCATCAGTGGCAACCGGTAGTTCTCTGTCTGCAGAACCTGATGAACCGTGACTGCATTGTCGCTGCATAATCTTAACCCAGCCCCACTTTTTTGTGTGACTACCACAAAAGTCATGACCCAGTCATTGCTTGCGACTGTCTTAGGCATGCTGGCTTGCTGGGGCTTTTAAGTATATTTAGGTATCTCTCCTATCATATGATAATGGCCGTGCTTTTGAGAACACTGGTTGGGCTCCTTCCTTCAAAAGATTGCGAACTTCCAGGTTTTTCCAAATTTCCGGGGCGCTGTTGAAGACATCGCTGTACTTTTTTCTTAGAGCTGTCGTACTTCAATCTTCCCGGTAGACTGTATATTGATTTTCAATTTACCTGCAGTTTTTCCTACCAGTTGTCACACCTGTCCCGTTTATTAGGGAGGCGATCGCCGGGCTAATTCCAAGAGCCGAAGTATCGGCCCCCCGAACCACACCACGAAAGCGTGGACAATTTAGAAGTGGTCCTTATTGGTGCGCCAGCGGACGCCGGCTGTGGCCCAAAGAACAAGACAGAGCCGAGAGATGATAAACAAACAAAATTATATTCTCATTAACGGCAGATCAAAAACAATACACACGTATGCACACTCCACAAAAGTTACATACAATACGTCACCAAACAGACAATGTACTACACAGTACAATCAACCACACTTGAAACAACGGACACAGACAACAATACGCACTACGATGCAGTCACATGCATTGAACAACCAAGACACTTAAGGACTAAAGAGATAGAAAACCTATTCAGTCCAAAGTCCTTGGAACAAAAGTCTGAATGATACTCTTCCGAGAATCACTCACTCAAAGTCCAGCGTTGTTGTCGTTCCGCAGCTCTCTGAAGTTTCTCTTCCAGGAAACCTCCCGTCTTCAATTGGCCACTCTTCAAACTTCAACTTCTTCGCCGGAACTCGTCGGCTTCACACACGCAGCTGTTGCCCGCGTCTTCGCTCGATAGCGGTAAACCCACGCTCTTGCCTGTAGCTCGAGCCGTCCCTACGGGCCAAAAACTTCGCCGATTACACGGCGGACTCTCTACGCACTCTGGCGCTCACTTCCGTCTCCTCCTGTTCTGTCACTACGGGCAGAACCTTCGCCGACTACACGGCGGAATTCCTACGCGCTCCGGCGCTAACTCTCCGTCTTCTGATTTCTCGTCTCGGCTGCTCGGTTAAATACCTTGCGCGCGACTTTCCAGATCTTTCTCGTCATTTCGTCGGCGCGATACGCAGCGAAGGCTGGGGAGAGGCGAGACGGTTTGTCTGCCCTCCGCGTCGGATGACTCAGCTCGGTCTGACCCCGCCCCGTTCGTTCGAGAAAAATCGCGGTCTTGCTGGGCCGCAGATGTGGGGTGAGGAGGATCGTCTGCGAAGCCGTGCTTCTGCGGGGAGAGCGCGCGCCCGGGAGCCCTGGATGTTTGCTTTCTTTTTCTTTTCTTTTTTCCCTCGCGGCGTTTCTGCCGCCCGTTGTCGCAAGGATTTGGCGGCGCGCTCTTGTTTAGCGCTCGTTCTGTGACACTGCCCCCCACTTTAAGAATATTATCTCATAATATTCAAAACCACACAAACGAGCGCGAACAGTCACCACACATTCTCACAGACTGTAACACAATCTGTCGCTCATGACACTTCACATTCACAATATATCACTCAATACAATCTTACATTGTAGTTCAATTCCACAACACATGAAATATAGCCACAGGTACATGCCTACAACACTTCATCACACATTCTAAACAATACAACCGTACAAAGTTCTGTCTATCCAACAATTATACAACACTATACATCACACCATCGCACAGAACACTGACTCACTCGACATACACTTGAGACACAGGATGACAAGAACATTAACACAACATATGGCACTCAGCACTGCCCAACACATTCTGATTCGACCTCAGCACTTATCCTGAATACTTCGAGCAGCGCTTGCGCCCCTTTTTGCGGTGCTCGCTCGATCTTTTCTTGTGTTTCCACGTTCTTTTTCGGCGAGCCCTTTCCAACGACGATATCCGCGGCGTCGTCTCAGCCATCGTTGTCTCTTCCGACACCGTTAACGCGTCATTACATTCGACGGGTCCTGTCTGTTTATTTACCCGCTTGATCATGCCTCTACATTTTGCCCGGCTGGCCAACTCCGTCTCCTTTACACTGTCAGTCGGTTGAGGTCGTGCCGACGTACGTCCAGTTGCTCGGCCTGTGAACTTATTCGACACGATCGTCTTCTCCTTCGCTGTCTCTTGCGCCGCAGCTTCACCTTGGGCTCTAGTGAGATCTGTCACGGGATGTTCCTCCATTGTATCTCGCGGCCGCTGTGTTGGCGAGGGCTCTATCTTCGGGTCTTCTCCCAAACATTCTGCATCACTTGGTCCTCGCGCCCCGTCGATGTTTCCGATGACAAGGTCATACAGGGGGGTCGTCATGCATAAAGCAGTAACCTTCCCGCTGAAGTAAGGGGTTTCAACCTCAATTTCTGCTTCGGGAAGCATCCGGACCGTACGGTCAATTAGGCAAACCGGTTTCGTTCTGCCTGTCAACTCTCTTTCCCGTACCAAATTTCTCCTCATGATAACCGTGGAGCTACCGGTGTCTCTTAGAACCGTAATCTTCTTGCCAGCAATCTTTCCAGGAAGTGTTGGCATTCCCTTCGTAACACCGGTTGGCTGTTTTGACATTACAGCACCCACAATGGGAATTTTCTCCCCATTC